GATACAATTTTTAACTTCATTTCAATAACAATGGGCCCCTCCGATCTCGCCTTTCACCCCGTCCTACATCCTTCAAACAATGATCATAATTCACAGAGCATTCCAAGTTCTTGAGCTCCCGATATCCTTTAGAAGGGGTCCCAATGAACGAGTGTGGACGGCGCCCGGGGAGGCCTCGTGCTACAGTTCGGACTCGATTTGTGTCACGGTTCTTAATCTGAACCAAAGAGTCCAAATCTGGCAAATCGTTCCACCCTTTTATCCCTATCATTCAACCCTCGCACATTCCACGATACAATTTTTAACTTCATTTCAATAACAATGGGCCCCTCCGATCTCGCCTTTCACCCTGTCCTACATCCTTCAAACAATGATCATAATTCACAGAGCATTCCAAGTTCTTGAGCTCCCGATCTCCTTTAGAAGGGGTCCCCAATGAACGAGACACCCTGGGACTGGGAGTCCCTTGCCTCCATGAAGCCTCCACTGCCGCAAAAAGACGTATTGCCTCAGCTTCGTGGCCTTCAAAGGACAAGCCCAAACAACGACTAACTTCACTAATTCGATCCAACACCCACTGGGACACAGCTTCCGCCGAAGGAATGTCCTCCCTCGAGAAACCCCCAATATCCTCAAACCTCTGTTTTTGTTTGAAACAAGCTACCAAGTCACTATCTTGCACTGCTAAAGGTTGTGACTCCAAAACGTGGGACTGACCCACACATTCGTGCTCCTTTCCTCCTTGAGCAGTCCATGTGTCATCGCGAGGCGTCTCCAACACCACTGGGGACTGACGCTCAACCATGTCTGATTCCAACGCTTGATCCTCCACCTATAGCATACCGCGAGGTAATTGAAGCTCCAACTGGGAATTGCGCTCAACCGACGCTGATCCCGCCGAAGGAGCTAAATCCGACGGCACTAGCAGTCGCGAGCTGGAGTCCTCTGCAGATGACGCCTCGCAAGAACTCACCAGCTCCACCTGGGACTGACATGCATCCAACTTCGAGGCCACCATCTGCGAAGTGCCGATATCTGACGCCTCTACCAGTCGCGGTCCAAGTTTCGCAGCAGATGGGGCACGGTGGACCACCATCTCCAAACCAGATGGTGACACCGAACCTCGCCGAGAACCCTTTACCCCAAACGAATCCACCCGACCCAACTCGCTCAGATATGGATCGCATGAAAGCCTACCACCCAAACCACCCTCAGTCCGACCCACACCCGTATCAACAGGAGGAGTGGGCTGCTCAGACAAGCCCAAAAGACCACCCCCTTTGAGGCTTAAGGAACCACCCTCCTGTGGGCCGGGTTGATTAACCACCGACGTCAGCCCCTTAACCAAACCGGCCCCCATATCCAACGCCTCTACCAGTCGCGGTCCAAGTTTCGCAGCAGATGGGGCACGGTGGACCACCATCTCCAAACCAGATGGTGACACCGAACCTCGCCGAGAACCCTTTACCCCAAACGAATCCACCCGACCCAACTCGCTCAGATATGGATCGCATGAAAGCCTACCACCCAAACCACTCTCAGTCCGACCCACACCCGTATCAACAGGAGGAGTGGGCTGCTCAGACAAGCCCAAAAGACCACCCCCTTTGAGGCTTAAGGAACCACCCTCCTGTGGGCCGGGTTGATTAACCACCGACGTTAGCCCCTTAACCAAACCGGCCCCCAAATGAGACCCTTTATTATTAACCCCAGCCCACCTACTATGGCCCATCACGCCATTATAAAAAACATGGGCTCGTCTCTAGCCCAGTTGCCTTGCCTTCGGCCCACATGGACAATCCAACTCAGCCCCCAAACGCTGTGTGAAAATACCCGAAGAACCCATGGATCTTCCCCCTATTCGAAATCGTTGCAAATATTCGTTGACCCCCATACTCGACCAAAAAATCTGCCCTAACTGCGCAGAATCCATTGATGCCATATTCGGTGCAGACTCCCCAGCTTTCACGTTCGCCGACGACCACCGTTCCACCACCGAATCATCTTCTACCCAGATTGGCAGTGAAAATTGCCACAACCCCCAGCGAAAAGATACCTGCGACGGCGTAGCCTCGGAGCCTTGCACCTGAAGGCGAATGGAGCCTAGATCCACCGACGACTCGTCTGCCTCAATGAAGCCACCACAGCGATCACCGATGAATCGATACACCGCCTCCCTTCGGAGATAAATAGGCAGACCCATCAACTGAATCCACACTCTTCTCAGGCCGCGACGTGTTTGCCGAAGTGCAGAAAGCTAGTGGTGACCACCACTCAAGAATTAAATAACAACCTTCCACTGTCCAACGTCGTTGCAACAACTCCTCCGCCACATCCCTACTTGACAGAACAAACAGAAAACCTTTATCCTTCACAGGTCTGACGTCCACCTTCCCCGAATCCTTCCACCGCCGGGCAACCCAATCAAAAATGGTTGCAAAACTCAGACCTTTGCCCCTCAAACCCCCCAACGTACCCACTAACGACCTATCCAAAATGCGAAACCAATTGACCTCCACCTCCGAGCAGACAACCCCGACTGACTTACAGTCGGCAGTAGAAGTGGATGCAACATTTCTCAAGCCAATGGGTCGGGAGGCCTTTGCATCACACAACCCAAAGCCATCGACAACCAACGCCACCGTGTCCCATCCATCACCGAACGCAGATACAGGTATGTAAACTTGTTCGCGTCTCAGTCCTGTGGTAGTCACAATTTGAAAAGAGGTCCCCCCACCTTTCTCACCTCGTACCCATACCGCTGTAGTACGATTACCCCCACTGAGCCGGCCCCAAAACTTGAAACTGCTGGGCTCCTTAGATGCTAACCTCATCCTGACCACCAACCAACAAACTTCCGAAGCATTCAGCACCACCGCCCGACGTAACCCCTCCCTCCTCTCAACAATCGACAACCTGCACTTTCCATCCGCTCCGTCGGACTCCTCAAACTCAAACGACCGGCCACCAAGAAACAAAATTCGCCAGCGTGGCCCAACTTCTTTCCTTACTGGAAACATTAGGCTCCTATAACTGCGGAGCACATATCTCTCTTCTTTTAAAAATTCAACTCACACAGGTGTTCCTTGATCAATAATAATAATTTAGTTTTAATCATAGATAAAATGAAAAATTTAGTAAATAATTGGTGTAATAATTGTGATCAGATAGAAAATACTCGTATAAATTGATAATTTTTTAAGGCTTTATTTTCACGCCAAATTTTAATACTGTATAAATATTTTTACTTTACTTCTTGTTCCCTTTTTAAGAGTGAGAAATAGAAAGAGAGAATGCTAAATATTATCTATATATGCTTCTTGTTATATAGATGCCTTTTGTCAAGTTTAATTAGAATTAATGGAATAAAAAGGAAAAAACCAAATTTCATTAATTCATTAAGGGGAATTGCAAATGAGTGCTAAGTTAGCAAAATAGTTGTAATTTTCATGGAACTGCAAATGGGTATGTGTCCAGTGCAACTAAAAGTTGTGGCATGAGACATCTCACTTGCACTTTCATAAAAGTAAAGTGCAATTATTTTGCTTGAAAGGTTCACAACCATTGCAAGAGGAGGCCCAATAAAAGGAACAATGCCTTGACCAACTCCTAGTGAGTTAAGGGAAGAAGGATAGGTCCACCAAGCAGCTTCTTGGAGATCGGAGGAAGAATTACAAATCTCTTTAAAAACTGACACCTGCATATGGAACACATCTCAACAAATGGTGGTTGGCAGAGACAGGTGCAACCCCAAGGAGTAAGGTACCCTCTGAGCAAATAGAGTAGGGTGCTAGGGGGCCATGATGTCATAATATAGCCATGTGGAATATGAAATAGCAGCCAACTTGTCCCCTAAAAATAGTCCAACAGAATTGATATCTGGGTTACTTGACCCTATATATATATATATATATATATGAAGAGGTTGTATAGCGACCCCGGTCTTTTCCCATTTGATTATTGTATCCGGACTTAGGTTCCGTAGATTCTGTTATTGTATATTTGTTGTTGTTGTCCCTTATTTGAGTGCTCTCCGGCTGACACCACCGGCTGGGCAGCAGCACTAATGGGGTTTAGGTTCCTGCAGGGATTTCAAACTTGGGAGGTGTCATCCTACTTTCTTCACAATGCGAGGATTTTTCCCTCACACACCAACTTTCCACTAATTTGCAATAGCTCCTTAATTTATGATACCAATATTAAAAATTTTCGAAAATGCATTGTTAGATTCTAAATTAAAAAAAAAAAAATCTATCTCTCTGTAAGTAAGTACTTTCAGATGTTTCATGATTTGATAAAATGAAAAACGTTACCACATTTGTACAACTAGATGGGAGGCACTCATTATGAGAGTGCACGACAAACAAATTATTGGCCACAATTTGCTTGTAATGGCTTATAATAATTTATATATATATATATATATATATATTTTATTTAGGAATGTGGGTGCTAAGATGTTCATAAACTCCATGGAAGTTGAACTATGTGAGGTGAAAACATGATCTCAGTTCTGACATTGTTGTCACTTTTGAGTCAACCAAACAGAAGCCTCCTTGGAGCAAAATGGCCCTCTTCTATCACCTCCCTGCACCTAATTCTCCTATTCCCCTTCACATTTATTTATTTAATTTGTTTACTTTGCAACTGATGGAAAAGATCATTGTAATTCACCATTTTGTCAGTGATTCAAGACTAATTTTCTAACATGTCCCAAAAAAAAAAAAGAGGACTTATTTTCTATTATTTTGAGGTAAATATGAAGTCAATTTGCTTATATTAGCATTATTTCTCTCTTGATTTTTTCCCCTTAGAAATTTATAATCAAATTTCTTTCTAACAACTGTCAAAACTGATATTGTAGTTTTCTTCAAGAATTTTTTCCCTTTTAACTACAATCCCTTGCAACTTCTATATTTGCAGGAACTGACCACACCATGGAATTCATACATTCATTCCTTAGTAAATGGGTGGTACCTTGCATATATGTTAATCCAAACATGAAAAATCTCAAAAGAAAGGCGGAGTATTTGAGCGCTACAGTGGATGATTTAGAAACAGAATTTAGACTTGCAGAGTACCATCCAGCCAAAAGACCAAGGAAAGAGGCTCAACATTGGCGTAGAAATGCGCGAGAGATAATAGAATCCATTTCAAGACTTGAGGAAAAAGTAGATAGAGTTGGACAATGGATGTTTGTATCACGCTTACTGTTGGGAAAGGAAGTTGAGGAGAAGATTCAAGAGGTGGTAGAACTGCAAGAGCAGCATAATTTTCCTCGTGGTGTGCTGATTGATGCTCCTCCAACTTCTGAACAGTTCATACCAACAGCAAGATTTTTTTGTGGAAGTGAAACCATAACTGCAAGGAACAAGGGCAAATACTTGATGGATGATGAGGTTAGAACGATTAACACTACTAGAAAATGGGTATTTGCATTGGAAATATTTGTGACGGTGCAAATATCATTGCAAAACATTGACCTTTTTGTCATTGTGAAAAATATTATTAGCGACCAAAATATTTGTAATGACAACGCCGTCTTAAAAAGTGAGTGTTTGCTATGGCATTACCTTGCTAATGCAAAAGTGTCTACAATTTTTTGTGACAGCATGTTCCATCATCCAAAAAAGTAAGCGACTATATCATATATGCGACAATTAGAGGTTTCCATCACAAATAATAAACTTTTATGGCAGCATTGTTGTCGTAGCAAAAAAACTCGATTGCAATATGACAATGTTTTGGCTCTCTATTTTGTTTCCCCTGACTTTCCCTAAATTTTTCCCCAAATATTTTCTTTTCTCTCTCTCTCAGCTGTCTCACTCATTCATTATCTCACTTTTGTAGCTCTCCAATGGCAACCACCAACGTTGGCAACCACCTACACCAGTAACTAATCAGTATCAACAACCACCACCTTTGAACACCTCCAAAGTCGCCACCACCGCTGTGCGCCCATGCCCAACTTCACCAGTAAGTCATCTGTGTGTGTGTTTGTGTGTAATTTTAGATCTGGATATTATGTTGAATTCTTGTTGTTGATGGTTTACGATGGTGGTAGACGGGGGATGGTGGTGGCATGTATGGATGTGGGAGGGGAAAAAGGGTGGTGGTGGAAGGGTGGGGAGGCGATGAAGGGGAAAGGGAGGGGGAGGATGGTGGTAGAGGGGTGGGGAAGAGTGATGAGGGTGGCAGATATGGGTTTGGGAGAGGGAGGAAGGCATTAGAGAGGTTTGGGGTAGAGGGGTGAGGGAGCCTGTTGGGGTGGCATTCACATGTGCAAAAACACATTTTATAATCGTGTTCATGATATGTGCGCTAGTGTATACAATTCTTTTTATAACTTTCATATGAATTTTACCTTGTTTCCCATGTTTGTTTTGAAGGATTAGGGGGTGGGATTGGACTATTAGTGCCACTGGACTAATAGTCCATTGTTTGTTTCATTTTTTTTGCTCCGGACTAATAGTCCCCCCGAACTATTAGTCCCACAAATATGGGACTGTCCTATCCCATGGGGGGAGGTGGGATAGAAACCATGTGATTGGTATTCGATGGGATTATTTTGTGAAATGTCCATTTTACCCTCCATGCTATTACTTAGCAAACTTTAGAAAATGATAAAATAGTCTTTTGAACATTTATAAATTATTTTTTTAGTGTTGTTAATTTAAAATTATATATTAAATAAAAAAATTTAATTATAAATTATAAATTATGGCCTTACAAATTAAATTTTTTTAGTGTTGTTAAAAAATTAAATTTACGTATTAAATTAAATTATTTTTTTAGTGTCGTTAATTTAAAATTATATATTAAATAAAAATAAAAATTATAAATTAAATTTATTTAAAAATAATAAATTATAAATTATGGCTTTATAAATTAAATTTTTTTAGTGTCGTTGAAAATTTAATTTATATATTAAATTAAATTAATTTTTATTGTCGTTAATTTAAAATTATATATTAAATAAAAAGTAAAAAATATAAATTATAAATTATAAATTTAATTTAATTGCAAATAATAAATTAAAATAATTAAAATATTGTGCAAAAAATAAAATAAAACAAATTTTTATTTAATCTAGCTAAAAATAATTAAAATATTAAAGCTATGTTTAATATTGTTATTACTTAGTAAATAATTAAAAAGGATAAAATAGTCATTTGGGCATTTATCCTTCTCCATGATATCCCAAACAAACATTGGATAACTAAAAATAGTCCAATGCAAACATCTAATCCTATGACTAAACAAACATAGGATACAAATTTAGTCCAACCAAATAGTCCCGGGACAATGTATCCCAGGACTAATAGTCTGATAGATTACAATCCTCCCTTATCCAGTCCGTCCAAACAAACTCACCCTAATTGTAATAATTAAGTCCTCAAACTGCAACTCTTGTTTCAATGTGATTATCTCATCACTCTTCATTAAAAATTTGAAACATAAATGACCAAAGTGGAATTTGAGTTCAAGTTGAAAGGTAAAAAATGTAATTTACGCTATAATTTCTATCTTCCAAAAAATGTGTAGTGTTTTTCATACAAAATTTTGACACTGAGTGATGGGTGGACCACATTGAAACATAAGGTCAAGTTTGACAACTTAATTGTTGTAATTAGAAGGTAGTATATCAAATTTATTATGGTGATAGTTGGAGGTTGAAAGAGTAATTTACCCATTCTTTGGTACATCGAGGGCCATAGTGTAGGGATGAGGAGTATTTCTTTGACAAGACTTGAACCCTTAATCTCTTAGTGAGGTGTAAGGGTTTTAGTGATGGTGAACATGGAAAGAAGAAATCCGGAATTTCACATAAAGTACGTTTAAGTCATCAAGGATTGAAGTTTTGGAATATTTTGAGTCTATATATATTTATTTTAAGTTATTGCGCTGTTGGACAAATTTATGTCATTATAATAGGTTTTAGTACTAAGGGTATTATGGTAATTTTAATAATTGTTGGACCTACGTTTTAGGAGTTGCCCATTGGTTTTATTTTGGGCCAAGTTATTAGATGGGTTCTACATTACATGGACTCGGGTGTGGGTATTGAGTGCAGATGCGTATTTAGGGGTCAGACACTTCAAAACTAAAAATTGAGGATACATGGATATGGATCCAAATTTGGATGCGGTTATAAGGATATGTTAAATAGTTAATTTTTTAAATATATTTATTATTTTTATTGATAATATTTTTAATTTATCTATATAATTTATTTTTTTTTACTTTTAATTGACATATATATTATAAATAACAAAAATATTATAAATAAGGAATAACAAATTATGTTAAAATAAATAAAAAATAGATAATGTATTTTATAGATTTTATTAGATTTTTTATTTATTTTTATTATATATGATTTAATTAGATTTATTATATTATAATTTATATGTGGATGCTAGTTGTTTTGACTTTTGACTAGTAGGTGAAAAGGTGAAAGTTTATTAGCTTGTTGGTGACTACTTTCAAGAGCCAGTATACCTTTTCTTGGAAGACAAAATGAGTTGCTCTCATTATATTATTTATGATATATTATATATGATAAATTAAATTATATATATTATTTATGATAAACACCAATTAAAAAGAAGAGGGAGAGAGCAGAGAACAGAAGACGGATTGAGAGTGAGAGAAGAAAACAGAGAGATGGGAGAGAAGAAAAGAGAGAAAGGAAAGACGAAGTTGATCGAAATATAGAGACGAAGATGATCGAGAGCGAGAGTAGAGAGACGAAGAGAACGATCGAGAGTGAGAGTGAGAGAAGAAGACAGACTAAGAGAAGAAGATTGAAGCCCTAATTGGGGGATCGATGCCCTAATCTCCATTTAATCTCCATTTTCATAGCCTTAATTGCAGGAATGCCATCTTTCTTCTTATTTCCGTATGCCGTGTCCACTTCTTCCATTAAATTGTTACGCTCTGACTTGGGTGGGAAATATTTTAAAATTGAGTTCTGTGAGTATTTGGTCAATTTGGATACTATTCACCAAACTTCTTGTACTGATACACCAGCTCATAAATGGTTGAGCCGAGTGTAAACATCGCTATCTCCTTGAGACAACTAGGTCTCTTCTTCTCTCTGCCTTAGTACCAGCTTCGTTTTGGGGCGAGACAGTTCTTACTGCTGCTTTTCTTCTTAACCACATACCTACTCCCCTTCTTTTTGGTCGGTCTCCTTATGAGGCTCTGTTCTCTCAACTTCCTAATTACTCCCTCCTTCGTGTGTTTGGGTCTGCTTGTTTTGTCCTTCTTCCCCGTAAAGATCACACCAAACTTACTGTCCGGTTTGTCCTATGTGCCTTTTTGGGTTATAGTCTCACTCGGAAAGGCTATTGGTGTTACAATCCTATTTCCCGTCGTCTTTATGTCTCCCATTATGTTTCTTTTCTTGAACGTTTGCATTACATTTAGCTTTCTCCTATCACAGTTCAAAGAGGATTTGGTTCACATTGATCCATTTCCTTTTGAGGTCCCTCTTGATGAGTACATCTCTACTGTTCCCCATGACCTTACTCCATTTTCTCCTCCATCTCCCCATCTTGCTCCTTCTCCTCCTCCTCCTCCTCCTCTATTGTTAGTTTATTCGCGTCGTCAGGGCTCTTCCTCCACCAGTTGTCTCTGCTCCTACTACTACTCCTCCTGCTTCTGATGACTCCGATCCTGCTGCACACCGATATCCTACTTGAGCGCGTCATCCTCCAAACAGGTTGGGTTGGTCTAATACATGTTTTTCTGTTTTCTATTGTACGTTTTTTTTTTGTCTATTATTCATTCTTTTTCAGAACCTAAGTCTTACAAGGAGGCCTGTTAGGATCCTTATTGGATTCAAGTTATGGAGGATGAGTTATCTACTTTATAGAAAACTAGTACTTGAGAGTTGGTTCCTTTGCCTGGGGGTAAGAATCTAATTGGTTGTAAATGGGTCTACAAAGTCAAAACTCATTTTGATAGTTCCTTGAGTGCTACAAAGCTTGTCTGGTTGCCAAAGGTTTCTCACAGGAGTATGGTAGTGATTATGAGGAGACCTTTGCTCCTGTTGCCAAGATGACTACTGTCCGTACTTTGATCTTTGTCACTGCTATTCGTTCTTGGCCTCTTTATCAAATGGATGTTAAGAATGCTTTTCTTAATGGCCATCTCACCGAGGAGGTTTACATGCGTCCTTCCCTTGGCCTTCACCATTCCTTTGGACAGGTTTGTCGCCTTCGGCGTGCTCTGTATGGTCTGAAGTGGTCTCCTCGTACTTGATATGATTGTTTTCAGACTACCGTTATTGCGGTTGGGTTTCATCCTTGTGCTCAGGACTCTGCTTTATTTCTTCAGGACTCTGCTTTATGTCTTCTCCACACCTCTGCTGGATTTGTATATGGATGATATGATCATCACTGGTTCTGACTCTTCTGCTATCTTTGAGGTCAAGTAGCATCTTTTCCGCACTTTTGAAATGAAGGATCTAGGCTCCTTGCAGTATTTTCTTGGTATTGAGCTGGTTTCTTCTCCCAAGGGATACTTTCTCTCAGGCCAAGTATGCCAATGAGGTTATTCATCGTGCTGGTCTTACTGATACAAAGATTTCTAATACCCCCATTGAGCTTAATGTGAAGCTCACCCCTATTGATGGGGTTCTTCTAGATGATGCTACTTTATATCGAGAGCTCGTGGATTGCTTAGTTTATTTGACGGTTACTCGCCTTGATCTTGCCTATTCTGTTCATGTGGTTAGTCATTTCGTTTATGCTTCTTGTTCTACACATTGGGCTGCTTTGGTTTGGATTCTTCGCTATCTCCGGAGTACTATATTTCAGGGTTTACTGTTGTCTTCTACTTTCTCTTTGGACTTGGTAGTTTATGCTGATTGTGATTGGGTTGGTGATGTCATTGATTGCAAGTCTACTTCTGGCTTTTGCATGTTTCTTGGTAATTCCTTGATTTCTTGGAAGAGCAAGAAACAGACTGTTGTTGCGTGCTCCACTGCTAAGGCTGAGTATCGTTCTATGGCTCATGCTACTACTGAAATTGTTTGGCTTTGTTGTCTTTTAACTGATTTAGGTGTCCCTCAGTCTTCTCTGACCTCCCTTTACTATGACAACCGCAATGCTATTCAGATTGCACATAACACCGTCTTTCATGAGCGAACGAAGCATATTGAGATTGATTGTCATTTTGTACGTCAGCATCTGGAGTCTAGTTCCATGGTTCCATCTCGCTTCCTTTTGTCTCTTCGGCATTGCAACTTGCTGATTTCTTTACGAAGACTTACACTACTGCTCGATTTCAGTTTCTTGGCATACTCTTAGTGTTTTCTGCTAAAACACCTAGAAAACACCTTGAGTTTGAGTGGGGGTGTGAGAATATTATGTAATTATGGAAATATGTCAATTCAATTGATTCTGGATTGATTGTATAGGGTTATTTTCTATTATAGATAAGGTTTAGGATTGCTATAGATATTGGTTGTAATCTTTGTATTACGTACAAGTTGAATATACAGATCATTCAGAAAAACTTACAGTGTCGTGTCGACATGGGTACTTCGCCAAAACTGACGAGTTTGTGTAATGTAGCTAAAGGTTACTTGATGGAAGATTATATAAATTTTTCTGCACAATAACTCATGATGTGGAAAACTAAATGTAATTGACTATTGAGAAACTATGATGGTGTTGATAATGTGGATTGTGCTATTGGGAAGACCATAATTTTTTTATCTAGATAAATAATGCATGGGTATAACCCCGAGGGGTTGGTGCTAACTCAAGGATCAAAACCTCTTAGGTGTTAACAATTTTTTGGGGCCATCGGATTGGGAAAACTCCTGAATTAACCGTGGTGCACTTACGGGAAACTCCTTGCCGAGGGCCTGTGCACCCTTGGGGATTAGTCGGGTTTTGATCTGAACACCCTGGTGTCAATAAAAAAATAAAAAAATAATGCATGGGTGAAAACTCATTGGTGTGAACATATAGTAAGCTATCTCATGAACCCAATCTTGATAATTTTTATATTCAAATGTATATGATATTTACATATTTGGGTAAATTATACTTTAACCCTTTGGGGTTAGGCCAAAAAATGTAGTGTCTTGTTGAAATTTGATTTGTGACATTTAACCCCCTGGAGTCGATAACAAAGTGAAAAGTGATGTTTTTCATCCAAACTAACAGCGTGTAGGTGTGACACCCCAAAAATAGATATTTTATTTTATTTTAAATTGTATTATCAAAATTTTATAGTGAAATTAATGCCACTAAAGTAAATTTCCCTTTTTCCTTCTTTATTTTTCTTTTTGTGTTCTCTCAACTCTCTCCATCTTTCTTCCTCAGTCTTCCCTTTTGCCAAAGTTTACAGATTTGGTTTCGATTTGGTTGGGGAGTGAGGATGGGGGTGGAGATGAGGGATGTGAGGGATTGCGGTGATGGGGTGGGAGAGGGAAGGCGCTGTGCCAATGGGAGAGGAGGAGGCAAAGGGGTACTAGAAGTTCTTTCCTTTGATTTCTGAGAACCCACCATTCACTAATGATGCAACTGCTATCAGCAACATGGCTGCGATGAACAAAAAAAGTGGTTATGAGTATATATCACAACAATATAAACCTCATGATGTTCTCCTCTCTCTCTTTCTATATATATATGGTGGTGGTGGTGGTGGTGGTGGAGGTGGGTGGTAGTGGTGATTTTAGGTGGTGGTTATGGTTAATAGTGGTGGGATGAGAGAGAAGAAAAAGAAAAGAGAGAATGGAGGGAAATAAAATAGTTATTTTTGTAATTTGAAATTTTTTTGTTATAAGCTATTCATTTTTCATTTAGGTATTGACACCATGGGGTTTAGTGTCAAATCAAACTTCAAGAGGCATATCATTTTTTGGCTTAACCTCTAGGAAGTCGATTGTTATTTACTCTATACATATCTTTCAAGCTACAAAACAAAAACCTTGAAGTAATTAAGAGCAAAATGTCTTGTGTCGACATTCATCAGATTTGACATGAACATTTCAAAACTTTCTACACCTAGATCAAGGAACATGTTTGTCTTTAAATCTATAGATTCCAACCAACATATAACTTTATTCTGAATTTACATGTTTGTTTTGAATGAGTCTTTGTGGACAACAAATAATATCATATTTTCTGAAGAAATCAATAGATTGTCAGATGGTTCTCAACTTGGCAAAGAAGTTTTAAAACTATATAATCAATGAGTTTTGTTTTTGTGTAAAGGCCAGGATGATCGTTGAGCCACACAATATTGTGATGTATGACTTTAAAGGCAAATATTGTGAGTTATGCTAGTGTACTACAATACATATTTGACTATCATTATTGAAATGTAATACAATCATGATCGCAAGTATATCTTGTTTTAGTGTGATGGGATTGAATTATTACTTAAATTAATGAGATGTAACATATTTTCTATTTATGTACATATCATGTATTATCAATTCAATTGATGAGCTGTTACTCTCAGCTAACTAATTATGGCCATATCTTGAATTTATCAATTCTATTTCTTATAGATTACTATGTCAAAGGAAAGCTGCAATCATCTTGCTCGTTCAGATTACACTCACACCTCTACCTCACAGCCATCATCCCAGAAGCCTAGATCACGGCCACCATTATTGGCACCTTCATCATCACTTGCAACCACATCACTACCATCATCGTCACATCCCACCTCAGGTATGTACATCTTTCATAATTTTACTTTAATTGCCATGTTAAATCATGCCATACTTTGTTTATCTCTAACTTGTTCATTATCATTGTTTCTCTCAGGCCTAGCAACTTCTAACTCTACCTTGACTAGGTGTGGTCAAGGCTATGTTAGGGGCATCAAGGAGTGGAATACTGGTGCTAGGATGGGCATCCAATTTGACAGTACATTCCAGCCGGTAGGGGATCAAGATGCCTCCTTGAATGGCCAACTTGGACAGGTAGTGCGTAACGGCACCAAATTCCCCTCACATATGGTAATTGTAAATTGGCAGGTTATTGGAGCAACAATTCGGCAGTTGTGGTTTATTAGTGAAAGTTAATTTCTAAAAGTTTAAATATCACTTTAAATGTTTAGCTAATATTATAAATGTGGAACTAATGCTACAGGAGATATTGACTCAAAACTCCTGCAATTGGGAGCTTCGTGGCCCACCTCTTACGGTGGGGCAGACACACTTCTCGCAGATACAACACCAAGTATTGTGTTTTTCTTCTTTTTTAATTTTTCCACCATCGTAATTTTTTTTTGTCATTGTGTACTTGTGTTTTTAAAATGTAGGACGGGTATAATTGGCAACTCTTTGACGAGCCTGAGTCCCTCCAGGCGACACAACTTGGGTATTTTCAGACATATGGGGGGGATGCGCCTCAGAGTGCGCTGTACAGACATGGTGTGGGCCCATCACTTGCATCCCAAGCCTTAACGATGGTCGAGATCACTCAACAAGTTCGGGAGAAGTTAATGCAGGAGCAGGCCTCAATGATTGTCCGAAACACAAAACAAATGTGTGAGAAGCTCAAAACGGAGCTCAGGGAAGAACTCACTACACATATCAAGCAAATGATGAATTAATTTCAAGCGAAGAAGGGAGTTCAAATGCCTTCTAGGTTCAGTAAAATTTTTTTTTTTACTTACTATATTTTAATTTTAATTTTAAAAAAAATTCTATTCGTATGCCTAATGAATTATACTTTAATGTTGTAGGTTCTGGATGCATCTAAGTGGCCATTGTGCATTTAGGGAATGCATAGAACGTAGGACCCTACTGTTGCAGCCTAGTTCTACACCGCTACCACCTCATACACGACACGATGATCAAGTACAAAACAAATGTGTGAGAAGCTCAAAACGGAGCTCAGGGAAGAACTCGCTACACATATCAAGCAAATGATGAATTAATTTCAAGCGAAGAAGGGAGTTCAGATGCCTTCTAGGTTCAGTAAAATTTTTTTTTTTACTTACTATATTTTAATTTTAATTTTAAAAAAAATTCTATTCGTATGCCTAATGAATTATACTTTAATGTTGTAGGTTCTGGATGCATCTAAGTGGCCATTGTGCATTTAGGGAATGCATAGAACGTAGGACCCTACTGTTGCAGCCTAGTTCTACACCGCTACCACCTCATACACGACACGATGATAAAGTATATTCTTTACATAAACACACGCATATATCTATATTGTCAAATAAACGATTTAGGTTAAAAGTGAGCCTATTAAAAACCCTTAGTGGTGTTGTGAAGTTAAGATTGATCTTAATGAAAATTTCAGATATTTTGTTCCATTTGTTGAATGGTTTGGTTGTAGGGGTTACTCAGAACCTAACTATATTGGTGTATTTATTATTACTAGAAGTTGTGTTACAAGTTATACGTGTATGGTAATACATCAAATAAATATAATTTACTAAAATAAAAACCAAAATTCTAAATTAAAATCACGGGATAGATGACACTAACAAAAAAGTCAGTTTATTTTTCTATCTTAATTTATGTTTGACAAATTGAAGAATATAGTACTGTTTTTTTTTTCCCTTCTCCAATTAAGGAGAGAAAAAACTTGATAAGAACACAATCACATCTAGGATAAGTGTCATGTCATTTCGGATTTGTGTAAGAAATATCTCAATATTGACTCAACATTGTCGTGCGGGTGGGGGAGAGCTGGGTAGTGGTTAGAGGTCGAAGGGTGGTGGCTGTGGCGGTTGGATCACAATTTCATTGTTGGTTGAGAGTTCCTTGATTCAAAGCGTTGATTGACGAAGGAAATCAAAGAAGCTGTAATTTTGCACAACACTTGTGAGATCTGAGAGGAGTTGGGAGTGAGATTCGAATTATGAGAAGTGATCATGTAGCAGTAGCGCTGTTGATTAGAAAACCAATTCAATCTCATTCCATAAAATAATCATGGCAATCAAAGAGATAAAATCAGTGAGTAATCCCCTTTAATTCACAGTACGACAAGTCTCAACAACAGTTCGCAAATTCAGTTTGGATGTTGCAACAAAATACTTCAAAATAACTTCTACTTTTTAGTAATTTATCCTAATTACAACTTGAGCAACACTATTCCTCTGGACCTATAGTAAAGAAGAAGAAGAAGAAGAAGAAGAAGAAGAAGAAGAAGAAGAAGAAGAAGAAGAAGAAGAAGAAGACAATTAGTTTGATATTTAGTGAGTGTTTGGGAAGGGTTATTTTTTAGGCTTTTTAGCTATTTTAGTAAGCTATTTTAGTTTTTGTGTTTGGGAAGATGGGATTGATTTTTATTTGAGTTATTGTATTGAAAAATGTGTTTGAAATGTAAATGACTAAACTGTCCATACAAAAAATAATAAAATACACAAGGCAACATTACACGTGGCAGTGAGGACACTACTTCCGTATGTCATACTCACTGCTACCGTCTGTCATGTGTTGACTTGGGTCAAAAATTTGTTTGTAATAAATTAATTAAGTTGATGTTAGTTTGCCAAAATCAATGCACATATTTATAATAAAATTTGTATATTAATTAGTAAACCAACAAATATTAATTCGTGTACCAACAAATCTCATTCAGAGCTGCTATGTAGCCCGAAAAAAGGTTGCCCCGAAATGGCTTGAATCCAAAACGACGTCGTTTTGGATTCAAGCCATTTCGGGGCAACCTTTTTTCGGGCTACATAGCAGCTCTGAATGAGATTTGTTGGTACACGAATTAATATTTGTTGGTTTACTAATTAATATACAAATTTTATTATAAATATGTGCATTGATTTTGGCAAACTAACATCAACTTAATTAATTTATTACAAACAAATTTTTGACCCAAGTCAACACATGACAGACGGTAGCAGTGAGTATGACAGACGGAAGCAGTGTCCTCACTGCCACGTGCAATGTTGCCTTGTGTATTTTATTATTTTTTGTATGGACAGTTTAGTCATTTACATTTCAAACACATTTTTCAATACAATAACTCAAATAAAAATCAATCCCATCTTCCCAAACACAAAAACTAAAATAGCTTACTAAAATAGCTAAAAAGCCTAAAAAACCAACCGGCCAACCGGCGCCGCCATCACCACCATCACCGTCTCCTTCTTCTCTTCCTCCCCCTTGTCTCATCTTTTCTCCTCCTCTCTCTTTCTTGCCTCCTCTCTTTCTTCCCTGTTTCAAAAAGGAAAGGGAAGGAAAATAAAAGGGGAAAAAGAAAAAAAGAAGAAGAGGAGGAATACCCAAAACGACGTCATTTTGGGTATTTGAGCTAATTCGGGGCAATGGTTTTCGAGCCCTCAAGTATTATTCAATCTCATTATAGAAATTATAAATACTCAAAACTTGTTGCTCCCTCGGTATCAAATTATTAATTTTTTATTGTTCCAAAATATTAGTCTCTTTTTAAAAATTAATGAAAAAAATAATATGAATTTTCTATTTTACCCTTCTTTCAAATTCATTACTAATACTCATTCCGTCCCAAAATAGTGGTCCCTTTTGGGGAATCCAACTTTTGTCGGTAGTACAATTATTGTACTTTAAAAAAAATTATTTTTCAAAATAATCCATTGATAGTACATTTTTTGGGAAATATCAATGTCATAATTGTACTTTTTATATTGTTTATGAATTTAAAAAAAAAGGCAAAATACGAAATTTATATCATTGTTGTACTTGATTTTTAAGAGGGACAAATATTTTGGGACGGAGGGAGTACAAAAAATAGCCTGAAGCTCTCTACCTCAACTACAGTCAGGCTATGAGCTACAAAGGGTAAAAAGCCCATCTTCAGTTGTCATTTTTTGGTTTTTGGATGAGCTACAAAGGGTAAAAATGCCTTTTTACCTAGATAATGACATCCAATTGGACTGAAGCTCTCTACCTCAGCTACAGTCAGGCTACCTGGCTTTTTTTTATTTTTTATTTGAGGTTAAAATAGCCTGCCCAACCCATTGCCAATCATCGCCTTGGTATTAAAAAAATATTAAGTATATGAAAACAAGAAAATTTATGGGAGAAGATTTGAGAGAGGAGAGAATCATTATGAGTATCAAAAATCTAAAAATCTAAGATGAAATCAGGGAAAAAAAACTCTCAAACCCCTATTTTAGATATAAAAAGTTTAGATTTACACTCTAAAACTTTAGAAGTATAAAAAGAGTTGTCGAAAATGTAGATCTACACTTTAGAAGTGTAAAAGGAGTTGTCGGAGTATCGCCAGAGCATCGCTGTAAATCTCCTAGAGAGAGAAGCTCTGCTCTCACTCTTCGGAACTTCATTTTTTTATATATAATTTGAGTTGATTATGCTGCATTGTATTGCTTCATTTGTCAAGTAATGGGAAATAATTTTTTAAAAAAGGGGGATCTCAGTCCCACCAGTGTATAGGGAAGGCAAGATGTACAAAGCCTTACCCAACATGATTGAGTCATATTTATTACACATGAAGGCCTTTCTCCCTTTATGAGCAAATTGATAATGCAATAATGAGAAAGAGGGGATCAGGTCCATTGGCTTTGATTCTTTATTCTGTCTTATCCCTTTCTCTTCAAAGTAAAAGTCTTATACTTCAAGATTGGTAGAAGAACCAAGAGAATAGGATTCTTTAATTGTGAAGCTAGGACTGTGATTTCGTCCAAGGAAATTTTTCCATTTTACCTGTTTCATCATGACTGACTTGAAAAATAAATCTAATTGGGCTTTTGGTTATCAAGCTAAACCATGACATAAAGAATGCTGTTAAAATACACCGCATTTTAGAAGAATTGAATCTTCTAATATCATCTTATTTCTTTTAATTGCAGAAGCATTCTGATAAGTGTACACACAATAGTCTTTAAGTGCATAGAGGTGGCTTTTATTTTTTGCAGCTATATGCATTCGTTCACCCAATTTTTTAAAAAATAAAAATAAATGTCTACATATTTTGTCAAATTTTCATTAATTATATCAATAGACTAAATAACAACTTCATTTACACTTTGATTAAGTAATTTTGTTTTAGCTTTATCTTCTTTCAAGTTAACTACATGCATAGTGAGCTTACTTGAAGAAGTTTAAAGCTACCATGTCAAAAGTCAGGATAACAGTATCATGATTCTTTATACATGTAAACAACACAAAATAATATATATATATAAAGAATCATGATACTGTTATCCTGACTTTTGACGTGGTAGCTTTAAACTTCTTCAAGTAAGCTCACTATGCATGTAGTTAACTTGAAAGAAGATAAAGCTAAAACAAAATTACTTAATCAAAGTGTAAATGAAGTTTTTATTTAGTCTATTGATATATATATATATATATCACAAAAAATACTATTCAAGGTGGCAAAAACACGGAGTACAGAACTTCATAAAACTGAAATGATGCAGACTTGAAAGATTGAAACAATTTATTGCATGTCTTTGTAGATGAATACACCCAAATACATTAGTTACCTCAACTATTACAAAGTTGCAGAGCGTTGTGTATGAAATGGAAAGTAAATAAATTTAAACAAGCAAATATAATTCAATAAAAAATTGAACCAAAAGAAGATAATAACACTTCGCCTAAGCCACTTTCCTTGTGCAACACTTGGGTACGCGGATGTTGTGAAAATTTGGCTCCTTTGGAATGGTTAAAGGCCTTTTTCCCCATGACAATGAGCTAGAAGCAGAAGAAGTAGCAGCTTTATTTGCATGGCTAATATCACTATGGCTTAGATCTCCTGCTTCCTTGGACCTTGAAGCTATTGATGATATTTCCTTTATGACAGTGAGTTGTTTACCACAAGCCATTGCCTTCTTTGTTGAAGCAACCCTGAAAAAGTGTATAGCTAAATCAGTCTTATGGAGAATTTTTCATAAATCAAGGATGAGATAATACTAAACCAAGAGTAGTACTCACCCTTTGGGACTAATAAACTGTTCATGTTGTGAAGATGACTTCATCTTTCTTAAGCTGTTTTCTGATTTTTGACTATTAACATCCTTGCCATATTCAAGTCTGGAGGTTATTGGTTTAGGTTTTTGCTGTGTTGATTTGGAACATCTCTGTGGGGATATGTTTGGATATGCTTGTCGTTCTGAAACTGTTCGACTCTGTTTCTCCAAATTACAAGATAAAGAATTTTTTCAGGAAATCTCAAACTTTTGAACCTTAAAATAACAGAGAGGAATTTAAAAGTGTATAAATAAGTAAACAACTGTATAAATAAGTAAACAACTGAAAATGAAGATGACTTACGGGTTCATCCTTTTGATAATTTTTCTGTAATTCATTTCCACTGCTTTCATTTGTATCGTGATTGCACTTTCTTTGTTCGAGGCACTTGTCATTTCTCTGCGATCAAATGCAAATTATCTGGCTTCAGTATTATTCATTCCATGATAAATACAAGAAATAATCCCCACAAGAAAATGCTCACTTGGATTTCATTCCATAAGCTGTTGAGGCATAAGCTATAAGCACTTTCCCACAGCTCTGCCAAACAGGGCCATAATACTAAACCAAGAGTAGTACTCACCCTTTGGGACTAATAAACTGTTCATGTTGTGAAGATGACTTCGTCTTTCTTAAGCTGTTTTCTGATTTTTGACTATTAACATCCTTACCATATTCAAGTCTGGAGGTTATTGGTTTAGGTTTTTGCTGTGTTGATTTGGAACATCTCTGTGGGGTTATGTTTGGATATGCTTTCGTTCTGAAACTGTTTGACTCTGTTTCTCCAAATTACAAGATAAAGAATATTTTCAGGAAATCTCAAACTTTTGAACCTTAAAATAACAGAGAGGGATTTAAAAGTGTATAAATAAGTAAACAACTGAAAATGAAGATGACTTACGGGTTCATCCTTTTTATAATTTTTCTGTAATTCATTTCCACGGCTTTCATTTGTATCGTGATTGCACTTTCTTTGTTCGAGGCACTTGTCATTTCTCTGCGATCAAATGCAAATTATCTGGCTTCAGTATTATTCATTCCATGATAAATACAAGAAATAATCCCCACAAGAAAATGCTCACTTGGATTTCATTCCTATGCTTTTTTGTGTAAACTTCTGCTTGGGAGCATTGTGGCTGCTGCAATTTCTTTATGAGGAACTAGTGCTTGCATTTTCCTCTCCAATTTTGCTTCCTTAAGAATTCCTCACTCCTAAAAAATCATCAGTTCTATTAGATGTGACAAGCAAGAACATATTTTTTTGTACATATTTAATTTGGGAAGACACGGCTTACATCAGTCCTTAGCTTGAAAGGCTTGGAATTTGTGGGTTTTGGTTTTTTATACTTCACCCCTTGAGCACCAGTGGCATCTACAGTGAGCCCTTATTTCAAAATTTTGTCATGTGTTTGTTTAACCTACATTAATTTCAAAAGTACAAGATAATCAAAATAATGAGATGATGCAACCATCTAATATGAAACAGAAAATTATATGTGATAAAGTTCTTGTTGTTCTAAAACACAAGAGAAATAGAACCTTTTTAGTAATTTCATTTGTCTCCTGCTTGCGGAATATTTTTCTTTCAGAACTAGCCTCACACCTGTTACCGTCAGAGGCCAAAACATTTTCTTTGTCATCGCTGTCCATGGCTTCACCTTCATGTCCTTTTACTCCTAAATTTTCAGGTTCGGTTTTGTGGTCTTTTGGGCTTTTTCTCTTCTCTGAACTTGCTTTTGTTTTTCCTTCCTCGTCAATTCCTTCATTGCTCTCATTGCCCCTTTCAGAGTTTTCTTCAAATTTGGGTAAATCATTTTCTTCCAAACTCCCTTCTTTAGAGTTTGATGAGGTGTTCATTTCGCCTCTTGAGGCATCTAACAACACCATATCTGAATTCTTTGTTAGTGGCACTACCTCTAAGCAAGTAACGGCTTCTTCTCGAGTAGAATTTATGGTATCCAAATTTCCTGATGTTTTCTCAGTTGACAACCATTCCTCACATACATTTCCTTCAGTAATACTTGAACTACCTTAATACCGAGCTATCCCTTGATTTCATGTCAATCTCCATTCTGCTTAAGTCATTTTTGACCGTTTCCTTGGGCATAGAGTTGCAAGGTTTATTTCCCTTCTCGATACATCTTAAAGATTTATTTCCCTTCTCCTTGAAATTTGGAGGCCTAAACAATTCCTTGGCCTTGCTTTTGTCCTCGTAGGCACCTAGTTTTCTTCTTGAGGGATCCAAAGGTAATGATTTATCAGGATTGCGTTTAATGTCCTTTGATGACTTGTTAGAATACCCCAATATATGCTTCCTTTGACTGCTTATCTCAAGCCTCTTCATCCTTCACAAATCTTCGTTAAAGGAGTACGCAATTCCGATGAAGTTTTTATGCTAATGACTTTCTTTGGGGACTGGAAAACAAAAGCCTTTGCTACCGTTCTATTCTTTGGTTCTGCAATGCTTGTTGGCTTCAGGTTCTGAACACTTCGAAAGGAGTTTGGACTAGGATGGCAATTTTTGTTCCTGGAAGTAGTTAAGTACTTGGTTGCAACTTGCTTGACCTTGGGATTTGGGGTTGAACTAAGCTTGCATCACCCATTTTCTGAGAAAATGAAGAAATCACTGCTAATCTTGATATTCTAGACTTTGAAGGTTTTGCTGGAACTGAAAGTGGGCATTCCTCATTCACACTAAAAGACCAAGTGTTATTGAAAATTAAAATTACATAGACCACAGGAAAAAAAAATGATAAAAATTTGAATTCATCTATTTAAAAGCTTTTTTTTAGTACCTAGAAGCCTTTTTGTTTAGTGCTTTGTGAAGTCAAATATTGGGACTTCTGGCTGCCATGACCTTTTTGAATCAATGTGTCAAACTCTGGATTAACCTATCAACTACACCATTTAACAAAAAGGACAATAACCAACCCGAAGAACAAAATTTTTGGAAATTGCTTCAGGGTCCATTTCCTCTTCATACTTTTGATCACATCCTGAGACATAATTGAAGAGATGAGTCACACGAGGTATTAAAGATTGTTTATTTGGAAAATAGTAGATGCATATCCAAGCCAACGGTTGATATTTTCAGACTACAGAGAACATATAGAGGTTAATTGGCACATTTTAGCTTGAAAATCCAAATTTTAGATAATGAAGGAAATGCAACAAGAAAGATCAAACATTGTAACTTTTACACATACATACCACAAGAAAAAAATGGGTAATCAGACCTATCCATAAGCTTTTGGAATAATATATATGTGTGTGTGTGTCTAGATCTAGAACAGAAAAGTAAATGCAACACCTCATTAACCAATTTCCCTCTTTCTTTAATTTTCTCGACAACCAAATAGTCTACTAAATATATATATATATATATTTAAAAAAATGACAAAAAAAATAAAAGAAAAGAGAGAGTTAAAAAATAAATAATAAAAAGTTCAAGGGTGATGAGAACCAGGTTCTTCACAGTGTGTTTGGATCACAAATTCAGATAAGAATTTGGAAAGGAAAAGGAAAAACAGAGTTAAATGTAACCTAAATTTATCCATGATCCAAATACAGTCTAATAGAAGCTCAAATTCATAACCCTAGTGCAAATTGGTAAGGGAAAGTGAAAATCAAAGAAAAAGAAAGCCCATTTCTTTTATGGAGGAGGATTCCCTCCAATTCAGCTGTTTGAGTCCCCGTTTTTAATAATTTAAACTGTTCATTTTGTCGGACACTTCATATATTTCATCTACGCAAAAAATTGGATCGATTTAATAACTGCAACTTGTTCACTTTATTATTTTTGTCATAAAAAAGGGTAAATTACATTGACACCCCCTGAGGTTTATGTTTATTACAGTTCCCTCCTCACATTTTGGAAATTACATCTTCCTCCCTCAGGTTTAAAGTTTCATTACAGATTGCTCCCTCCAATAATTTAATTTTTTAAATAACAATTTTGCCCTCATTGGGTAAATTACATTGACACCCCTTGAGGTTTATGTTTATTACAACTCCCCCCTCACATTTTGGAAATTACATCCCCCTCCATGAGGTTTAAAGTTTCATTACAGATTGTTCCCTCCAACAATTTAATTTTTTTAAATACCAATTTTGCCCTCATTGGGTAAATTACATTGACACCCCTCACATTTTAGAAATTACAATTCCCTCCCCAAGGTTTAAAGTAGCATTACCAATTGCCCCATCGGTTAGTATTAGTTGGAAAAAAAAAAAATTCATTGGAAAAAAAATTCATTGAAAAAAAAATTATTTGAAAAAACATTTTGTTAGTCAAATTTTTAAATTTCTGTTTAAAAACCAACGTAAACTCATTTTTTGAATTTATGTTGTTTCCTCAAATTTACAAACTGAGACAACCATTTATAAACCAAAAAAAATTATCAAACAAGTTTTTACGACAGTTATTTAAATTTTTGTAAATATAAATTGAAAACTGAAAACAAAATGGTTACGTTGGTTTTTATATAATTTTTATCTTACGTTGGAGTGCAACACAGTGTAATTTTAATAATTTTTTTGATTTATAAATGGTTGTCTCAGTTTGTAAATTTGAGGAAACAACATAAATTCAAAAAATGAGTTTACGTTGGTTTTTAAACAGAAATTTAAAAATTTGACTAACAAAATGTTTTTTCAAATAATTTTTTTTTCAATGAATTTTTTTTCCAATGAATTTTTTTTTTTTCCAAGTTGGAGTGCAACACAGTGTAATTTTGATAATTTTTTTGGTTTATAAATGGTTGTCTCAGTTTGTAAATTTGAGAAAACAACGTAAATTCAAAAAATGAGTTTATGTTGGTTTTTAAACAGAAATTTAAAAATTTGACTGACAAATTTTTTTTTCAAATAATTTTTTTTTTCAAATAATTTTTTTTCCAATTAATTTTTTTTTCAATGAATTTTTTTTCAACTAATACTAACCAAGGGGGCAATTGGTAATGTTACTTTAAACTTTGGGGAGGGGATTGTTATTTCTAAAATGTGAGGGGTGTCAATGTAATTTACCCAGTGAGGGAAAAATTGGTATTTAAAAAAATTAAATTGCTGCAGGGAGCAATCTGTAATGAAACTTTAAACCTGACGGTGGAGGATGTAATTTCCAAAAAGTGAGGGGGGAACTGTAATAAACATAAACCTCAGGGGATGTCTATGTAATTTATCCTAAAAAATGTATAGTTTATTTTTTAAAGGGTAAATTACATTGACACCCCTTGAGGTTTGGTCTAATTACTACCCACCCCCTGACATTTTGGAAATTACATTCCCACCCCAATGGTTAATAGTCTTATTTCACAAACCCCCTACTTATATAAAAGGTAGCAACTCCTAGTAGAAAAATAGAGGAAATTACATTAAAAAATAAAAATAAAGGAAAGGGGAAAAAAAGAGAAAGTAAAACAAAGCCAAAAAAGAGAGAGTGCGTGAGTTCAATGTCTTCATTCCGTCTAAATAATTACAATGACAGGGAGGTTAATGTAATTTCCCAAACGTCAGGGGGTGATATGTATTAAACCCAAACCTCAAGGGGTGTAAGTGTAATTTACCCTTTTTTTTAAAATACAATTGTCATCTATTTTTTTAGGGAAAAGTATAGTTCTAGTTATCAGATCGACTTAAATTTTTTTTTGTAAATGAAATACACGAAATGCTCAACAAAATGAACGGTTTAGATCATCAAATGAGCTCTATGGACCAAATAGCCCCTCCAGTGCAGATTTTGGACAGAAGGGAATCCTCATATTAAGATAAAATCAAAGCTAACTAAACAAAAGAATGATTAACTAAACAAACAAACCAATCAGTAGACATGAAAGCAGAGTACATAGTTAGTACATACATACATGAATCAAAATCAAACCCTCAACATGAAAAACACAAAAGCAAAAAAAAAAAAAAAAAAAAGGGAAAAAAGGAAAAAAAAGGAAATCAAGTGAATGATGTGGGTGGGGATGAGGAAACAAACACATACCGACACGCAGACATAACCAGTAAAGATCGTCGAGAGGGTAGGGATCGGAGGAGGCTGTGAAGTCCACGAACTTGGGTGCTTCGATCTTCTCGTATAACTCCTCCTCCTCCTCCCCACCACCTCTATCTTCTTCAATATTGATGATCGACAATTGGGGTTTTTCCTCAATTTCTTCCGATGTGAGAGAAAGAGAGAGAATGTTAAACACCTGGCTTGACTGTCTCTGTAAGTAACCATTACAAAGTTCTCTTATCTTCAGAAGGAACTTGTAGATAACGGAATCCAGGGCATATTTGTAATTTCACTTTTTCACTAAAGCTAGTAAAGCTAGGAAATTCTATTTCCGCACACCTACCTACCTCTGTGCACACACTTAATGATTTAGGGTGATTCTA